TAGATGGCAAAGCATTGTGATCAATGATTCTAATAAAATTATTCTTAAGTAGGATATCAAAGATATGATCACAAAAAGTAAAGTCAAAGGTGTACTTTGATTTCTTGAGCCAATTCTTTTGTGGAGTCGGCTTTAAAAGTAGGCAAACAAATGGAACGGATTTATTATCAATCCATTCAGCCACACCTTTGCAATTGCTTATAGGAAGCTTTAGCTTTGACGAACTATCACTATTGGCTTTGCCATATGGAACAATGTCTTGGCCGATATAATCTTAATTTATTTTATCATCAACAAATAAATTGCTATTCTCAATCGGTCTATTACAATAATTAGCAAGGATATCTTTAATAGATGCAGAAATTGAAATAGTATGACCAGATTAGAATTTGAGCAAAATATTTGTGTTTTCTACCTTGTTGATCATGTTGAAAAAGTGCACGTCCTTGATTTGCAAGATGTTGCTCTTCATCTCCAGAGAATGATCAACAATAGGTGCTGAATCATCCAAAGATGCATCGGTAGCTGCCGAAACCGAGAAAGTTGGCTAGGCCGACTTGGGCGCAAGCAGGGGCAGTCGGCCTAGCTAACTCAGGGCAGGTAGCAATCGGCTTAGCTGACTTTGAAGTCGGCTCAACCGATTCTGAGCAGACAGGCAGCCCTCCTTTGTTGCTTATAGGGGCTTGATCTCCATCAATGATGCGGTAATCACTAGATAAGTGTACAACCCTTTGGCTCCTGAAAAATCAAGTCTAGCTGGTTTCTGGCGTTTTCCATACTTTTTTGTAGCAAGACTTGTTTTTGAGACGTGATTGATTCGAAAAGGATATTGTATTGTTCGGCTTTTATAGTCGAACCTTTGCTTACATCCGAATTAATTATTTCTTTCATGCCCACTAGCAATCCTCTTTTAACCAATGACTCAACTGTGATTGGCCTTTTCTCATTAGTCTTTCCAAAATATTCATAGAATTGTTTCTCTAATTGAAACCATGAACCAATAGTACATCGCCGCAAAGATGTAAAACATGTAAAGGTAATACCGGTGAGAGATAAAGGAAAATTTAGTACTCTCGTACAATCTTCTTTACCGGCAAAACCCAGCTATGAGAGATATATACTAATATGTTTCATAGTGGTTTTATCATCTTCACCACTAAATTCATAAAAAATCAGGTACCCACCAACCATTAGGAGTTTTCAAGTAATCACAGTGTTTGCCTAAACGGATTAAACGGCCATTTAAACGGCCAGTAAACGGTAAACGGTGGTAAATTATTTTGTTTAGGGGATAAACAGAAATTAAACGGTTGACCGTTTAAACGGTCAAAAAACGGAAAAAACGGCCTAAATGGCCTAAACGGAACATAGATAAATAACATTAAACGGGCTAAACAGTTGTTTAAACGGCCGTTTAGGTGAACACTAAGTAAATCTAGTTCAGTTTTGTATGGATAAATTTGTATATTTAAGTTTATTATATTTATAAATATGTATACTTGATATGTTACATGCATAAATATCTATAATTGGTTCTTTTCACATGCATAAATATATATACATACCAAAATAATTAATTTTTATTCGAATAAATATGTATAAATGCTATAATACTTGATTTTTTACATGCACATATATAATTATATGTACTTTTTTTTAAAGTACAAAATCGTTTAGACCGTTTAACTTCGTTTAAACACCGTGTAAATAGCCTAAACGCTAAACGAAGGGCGATCGTGTAAAGACCATTTACCGTTTAGAAAAACATTGAGTAATCATAGCATAATAGGTACGGTTTACGATAAGTGGGCACCTTCCATTTAGAGGAACCATATGGATTCCTAGCATGGGCTAAATCTTCATCGATTCAGCTTAATTTGAGAGCAACAAATGAAACTGAATCATGATTGTTTGCAAGTGCACGCATTGTTGAATTTTCATTGATTCGGCTATAATTATTAGCAATATGTGGAGCCGAATCATGAGTTTTAGCACTCGAATGCCTTGCTGAAATTTCACTAATTCGGCTATGGTCATGAGCGAAATATAAAGTCGGATTATGAGCATTGATCTTTGCATAAGGTGCTGAATTTTCGTTAATTCGGCTATGGTTACTAGTAACACGTGAATCCGAATCATAAGTATTAGCACTTAAACACCTTGCTGAATTTTCATTAATTCGGCTCGAGTTGGGAGTAATATATAGAGCCGAATTATGAATATGAGCATTGGCATATGGTGTTGAATTTTCAGAGCAATTGGCTAAATAATTAGCATTGTTATAGCCAATTCTCTCATTCATCGGCATGTCTTGTGGTGGAACCACATATTGTGAACTTATAGCTGATGAATCACAATTTACGTGTTGTATGTTGATAGTAGCATCAAAACTCGAAGAATTTACAACATGCATTGGCTCTTGACCATACTATTCATAATTATGATGTGTATGATGAGGAGCATTAACAAAAGTATTGGCCGATGTAACATATCTAGTATCATTACAGCTAGCAACACCAACATAAGAGCTCATAGAACTTGCAAAATAACTATTAGGATCATAAGATGCATTTGCAAGTTGTACCTCAGGGTGATTGTAGTAATATTATGATGCAACACCTTGGTACTTTATGATTTATAACTTGACCGCCTTGCTGAATTTTCTGATAAGCAGCATAACTTGTTGCAAAATCGCAAATAAGATCACAAGGGGTCAAAACCAGATGCGATCGGCCTTTTGGGCCAGATGCAATGGCAATGACGAGCTCAAGAAGATAGATCAACGAGGAGTAAGGCTAGGTCAGAGAGATCGGCTATAAGAGATAGCCGAATCAATCGTCCCCAGCGGAGTCACCAAAAAGTGTGTTGACGTCGGAAGTGATCCGAATCAAACACCAATAGGGCCTTGGACGCCCGGGCCGCTACAGACCGAAAAATGTAGCGAGGGTGTCACTCTTTTGTGGTGAAGAATGGAGAGGTTTACAAGCAAACCATCAAAGGATAACCAACGTGCTTATGTGATGAAGAACCGGCTAGTTTTTAGGCAAACTAGCAAAGAAACCGTCGAAGCTCTCGCCCGGGAGGGACCCTGTCAGGGCAAGGACGTCATCGAGTTGCCCTAGGTCGGCCACAAGCCTAGGGCGTCATTCTTGGACGTCGGATCAAGGGATGAACAACATGGAGGTTGGAGAAGAGGGCAAAAGAGTTGGAGTAGAGGTAGTAGATTGATTTGTTTGCCGATTGGATAGATGGGAACTCAATCGGCCATGATCCTCTCATATATATATAGAGGGGGTGGTCTTATCCCAGTAGAAAACCTCTCCAAACCTTATTTTTCAAGTTTCCCATGAGTTTGGAACAGTTCGGATCAGAATCCAAAAGACCACATCCGAATAGGATTTTCTGTTAGGTATGTCGGAAATCCCGACTTGGGTCGGAACTCCCGACAGTCGGAACTTCCAACTTTTGTCAGAACTCCCGACGTAGGGATAACCCAAGACACCCGAGCAGATTTCTTTGGGCTTCCCGGAAGCCCCGACACCCGTCGAAACTTCCGACAGTCGGAAGTCCCGACTTGGATCAGAACTCCCGACAACGAGACATCTTTCCGACGGCATAACTTCTTCATCCGGACTTCGAATTAGACGTTCCATATATGTTTTTTGACCGTCTCGATGAGAGGAACGCAATGGTGAAGTTCGTTTCATATTTTGACAACTTCACAAAATAGACATTTTTTTGTCAACATTGTCCTTGCTCTACACCTAACTTGCCCCGCCCCGTGAGCTTTGAGAACCAATTTGTACTTATCTAGATAAATTCCAAATCAAAACACACCCCATAAACCCCTCTTCAACCCGCCCAATTAGCATGCTCACTCTAGTCAAACAGTTAAATCTCACTTCTTGGTTTGGGTAGCTCTCCAAATGCTTCACTAACCTCTCTTCAAGTGCTGGGTATAACGGTGTCGAACAGCTCTAAATAAGCTAAGGTAACACTATGTAGAGGGTGAAGAAACTGCTAATCGTTGAAAAAAGTATGCAGAGACACAGAACACCAGATGATTCTCCGGCTTAAAAAAACCTGCCAGATCAATCCCTCACTCTACACTTCGTAGTTGGCACTCCCTTGGCCGTGCGGTGCCCATTGTAGTGTCACCCCTGTCTCGGTCTCTCTAACTTTATCTATCTCAATCCCACCCAATTCAAAAAATCTCCAATTTTTTCTCCCTCAAATTGAAGCTCTTGCAATGCCACCAGCCACGCAGTGCAGCTGGCCCACGGCCAATGGGGACAGGCACACCAGCGCAAGGCAAGGGGCAAGCCACACTGCCAAAGGTGACCAAGAGTGCAGCAATCCCAATCCGGCAAGCGACGATACAGGCTACATCGTTGAGGACCAAAGCTAGGTCTGAAAATACCCCAAGTCCAAAATTATGGATGCGCCGTTGCTTTCTTGCATCGGCCGTGGCGATTCCCTGTCCTTCCGTTCATGTCCACCGACGGAGTCTTGATGGGCTCAATATCATGGTGAGATAGGCTCGACATGTCAGTCATGACACTGGCCCGCGAACTACTGGACTAGCATATAACCCATTGGTGGTTCTTCTTCCTCCTCCGTTTGTCTCGCTCGTTGCTCGAGGACTTTCATGGCGGCGCCGGTTACAGTTACAGATTGAGCGCAAGGAGAAGTAAAGGATTCTTGCAGGCACAATTACGAAACTCGTACAAAGACATGAATATCACATTACAAAGGGCAAATTATAGTTGGAAGCTAGTACACAAATTACTACGTGTACAAAACAAGGCATGACATGTTCGTATAACACACTGCACGAAGCAAGCACATCTGCACGCACACAGTAACTTCAGTATAGACAACAAGAATAATGGCACCGACCGAACTAGTGTACGTCAGATTATTCAGGTCTGCGAGGCCCAGTACTAATCGCAGCACAGCAACAGGCCAATGGCGACAGATGATTCGCATGTAGCCATGGATCACATGACAGAGCACGAGTTCTCATCGGCAACGACATTGCTGCCGGCCCACGGGGGCGGCCAGACCGGCGGCTGCGGTGGCCAGACAGGCCAGACCGGCGGTGTCTGGCCGCAGCCACAGCTAGCGTGGCTCGAACAGCTGCACGGTGGCGGCGGGGGAGGCTGCGGCTTCTCGCAGCACTGGCACTGCTGCTGAGGCGGGCACTGCCACGGCCAGCTCTGGCACATCCCGGTGTTCGGCAGCGGGTACGGGTACGGCACAAACTTGTACTGTGTTTTGGCCGGCGGTGGCTTAGGCTTTGCTTCCTCAGGCGGCTTAGGCTTGGGCTTGCAGTGGTCACAGTGACAACATTTCTCAGGCTTGGGCTTGCAGTGCTCACAGCAACAACATTTGTCAGGCTTGGGTGGCGGTGGAATCGGCCAGACGTCCACGATGATGATCTCCTTCACGACCTTCCCAGCCATGCACCAGACCTTCTTGCGGAGCTTCTCGGGGTCGAATTTCCCGCGCACCACTACCACCTTCTTCTCCTTCTTGTCCTCGAACTCCACCTTCTCGATGCAGAACTCCTCTGCGTCAATTAAAAAAACAAAAAGATAATTGACCGGCCGATTTATTGTTGCAAGCACAGATCACAATTCAGACTCGTAAGCTAGTAGTTGCAGTCTTAATATACATACTAAAATGTACCTTTGAGGCAGTCCAGGACTTTGGTGATCTTGTCTCTGCAGCGACAGCATTCTAGGTCCACCGTAATCACCAGTATACCCATCTGCAAACAAACATGTGAAACAAATAGCATTGGCGAATTGCCGAACAGAAAGTAGCAGAGCATCAGCGCATCTCCTGCCATCCTTTCAAGTGAAAAACTATGTTTTAACGACGAAAAAGAACCCCCCACCCAAAAAAAAAAAAAAAAAAAAAAAGAGAAAACATGTGCCATGAATCTCTTCTTCTCAGGCATACTTACTTTACTCTCCGCTGTTTGGTAACGAGCTGAAACGAAATGCTTCTTTTTCTGGGTAACAGACACGAGTGCTACGATGTACCTTCTATATATCAAACTATAGTAGAGAAACGAATGCAGAAAGGAAAGCTGAAGGATTTGAGCTTACCTTTCAGCTATGGGAGTCCACTGCCGATGAGCAAGAGAGGAGGAGTACCTCTGCAGGGGGATGGGGGACGGTTATATATACAATATAACGAAGCAGAGCTAAGCCTTGTGTGAGGCGTGTTGGATTGGATCACATCTTGATAATTGGTAGGGAGATATCTCGTATCTACTTGCTGATGAGATGGGGAAAGGACTGGACCTGCTGTAAAGGAGAGGTTGGCTGGGGCTGGTCCTCCAGGACATGTCTAGCTACTCTCCCCCTCCCGTCATTTTCTAGCCGACTACGGGGTAGTTGATGGAGAAAGGACGCCGACCCTCCACCTGCTGACATCCACGGCAGCCATCGCGACGACGACGACGACCGTCGTGGACGTCGTGAACGCCAGGGCGACAACTGGTACTCGCGTCTCACCCGTAGCCTTTCGCGGGCGCCCAAGGACCGCGAGCGGGAGCGTTCGGAGTCGAGGCACGGTGGCCGTCGACACCGACATAGAGGTCGTCGACGCCCACCGGAAGACGTCGCTGCGGGCCATGGCGCCCGCCTTTCTGCACCAAGCAACACTGCAGGTGCAAACATGAGGGCTCGACAGCACCTCGCCAAGCCCGGCCGCCCGGTGGATGTCCATCGCACAACCAGGGGACGGAGCAGGGAACGGACGCCCCACCGGAGGCCGCACAGGCACGCGCGTTCGAAGCCGAGGACCACAACGGCGCGCTCAAAGTCCCCGTCACCACGCCTGCGCTGCAAGTCGCCTAAGTTCAGCGGTGGCAACGGCAACAAGCATCACCCATCACCAAGTCCTCCCAAGGTGCCACTACGCCAGATTTGCACATCACTGCCGGCATCATCACTCCCGGATTTGTGAGAACCGGCAGTGATGTACCTTCACTGCCGGTTATGAGCTTGAAAATGAAAAAATGATTGGGGCTGGACTAAAATCGGCAGTGATGTACCTTCACTGCCGGTTATGAGCTTCAAAATGAAAAAATGATTGGGGCTCACATCACTGTCGGTTTGTGACTTGAACCGACAGTGTTTTGGCAGCCACTCAACACTGTCGGTTTAAGCCAAGAGCCGACAGTCATTGTGCTCTATCATTGTCGGTTCTAGCCAATAACCGACGGTGATAAGCCTACAACACAAAAAGACTGCAGCCGTCCTCTCCTTCCTCCTCTCTTCCATCCCGAGAACAGAGGCGTGCGTTTGGACCCTTCCCTCCATTGCTGCGGCTGCTCTTCATCATGAAGCTAGTGCTTGGATTTTGAAGAATGGCTTGATCTTTTTGCTTTAAAGTTAATAACAAACATCCACTCATTTGATTTTGTTGCTTAATTAACTTCGTTTTGATGGCTACATTGCTTGATTCTCATTCTAGTTCTTTCTCTATTCTAGAGAGCACTTTTTCAATTGGATATTTGTGCAAGGCTCAAATTGCGGTGAATCCATCATCCAAAAGGTTGGTGTCTATGAACACATTTAAATTCCTAGCTAATTATTTCATGGTGGTCAAGATCATCATTGTTAGTATGTGATGCTATAATTAGTTCTTAGAAGTAGAGTAGAATAATTGTTCTTCAATATTGTGCAATAATTGTTTTTTACTACGATTTTCAATTTACAGGGCCGGGGCTACCAATTTTAATTTTTCAATAATTAGTGTACAATAATGTTTTCCAAAAATAGTACTTTCGAGCTACAATTGTTGTTCATGAAGCTCAATTTCTTATTAATTCTTTGTAATTACTGTCTCAGTATTTTTTTGTGTAGAGATGGATCGAGAGTGGATGCATCTGTCAGAACGGACAAGCGGTACATGCATGGCGTCAGCCAGTTTATCACCGATGCCAAAGCCCATGCTGGGAATGGGTGTAACAGAACCGACCAAATCATAAGAACGTAAGTACAAAAACAATCACCGAAGCGATCAAATTCCTATACTTAAGCCCCCATAATCCCGGTAGTCCGGAAATCACGAAGGATTTCAACCAACTCTCGACATACAAACCAAGATCGTAATGATTCAACACAACACATCATTCGTTACAACATTCCACAAGTAGCATTCGGATTACATCCATCAGAGTTCAAATAAAATATTACAAACCGAGTTTGAATACGCGGAAGCAACATAGTTTAGTACATAACTTCATAGTTTCAAATACATTGCCAGATCAGAGTCATGTCCCATAAAAGCATTATCAGGTACGAGAACTAGTAGAAACCACGCCCAATGGTCTAGTCTTCATCCCCAGCAGGGAGAAGGCAGTACTTGCAGCAACCAAAGAAGAACTGGTCATCTGCAACAGGTGGAAAATAAACCCTGAGTACGAGAAGGTACTCAGCTAGACTTACCCGATAAAAATCAGAAATAAAAGACACCAAGGATCATGCAAGGCTTTTCAGGTGGGCTAGCTTGACACAGTTGCATAAAAGAACTTATGAGTATAGTAACCAATTTAACTGATTATCAAGCTTATCATTATTTACCTGTCCACTAAATTAGCACCTGTACTAGAGCACTCACTTATTAGGGGCAATCAATATTAACCATAGCAGGTATAATAAGGCTGTCATCATCATATCATCATTTCCGAACCATTAAGTTATTAAGTGTATCTACATTGGAGATAAGCCCGTCAAGTTCTCACTAACCGGGAGAGACGGCGATTCGAATCGAATTACAACTCAGCTAAGGGGGTATTCCTAACTCTCACCCTGGCATACTTTGCAAGGGTAGCCGTGGGTCACCTTTGGAACATCTCAGGAACCAAATTCGCGGGTTCGATCAGCGCCAGCACTCTCAGGGATTACCCTTCTGCCAGGACGATCAGGACTTTTAAATCACCTACCCTTGGACTCACGCCTACGGCTCCCTTCCGAGGCGCACTTTATACTTATCGACTCCCGGCCTGAGGTGAGCTACTCGGCTTCGTGGTTGGTCTCCAGACCCGGCCAACTAAGAGAGAGGCATGCGTTCAACATGAACAGAAAAGGCTCCAAGAATCAGTCCTTAAGCGACACAGACGGAGTCACTGCAAACCGGCAAGCCTCCGCCCGGTCCTCATTTCAAATTAAGACTGGTTCTTTTCCACGATAGCAAATATAGCCAACCGTGCCACATGTATCTTCCTATATCTCGCAGGTGACAGGAAATCACCCGACTTCTACCGTGTTTAAGCAGGGCTAAGCACTACACGAGCCTGAGCTACATAGGATTCAGGGTATCACTATCTGGACAAGGATTGGATAACCAATGCAGCAAGTGTTTTCATCCAACGCCTAAACTTAATGCAACAATATATATATGTAACAATAATATTGTAACTGCATTTCGAAAATTAGGAGGCTTAATATGCTCCGGGGCTTGCCTTTCACAAAGTTGCAAGGACGGTGGTCCGGGCACTCAACGGCGACCTCGTCTGGCACTTCTCCTGAAGGCTGCTCCTCCTGAATCTCCGGCGTCGGCTGCTGCTGCTCGCTCGGTTCCTCGAATTCCAGCAGGGTCACTCCTTCCGGTACACCTATTGCATGCCGATGCAAAGGATAAATATCATGGATGCATAAGGAATGACATGATGCTCATGATGAATGAATCACAGTGAGTGTTTACGAAAACATCACTGGACACTCGTTTACCGAGTAATTAGCTCTATTCAAATCACTTTAAGCATGTATCCAACTTAACTTAAATAACAAGATCAACTTACCTAATTTGCATAACCTAAGATAAAGGTGCTCATCTTCAGTTAAAGGCCTAACACCTAGGAACATTATCACAAACTTAGAACTAGCAAAGACATACTTAAAATTACAGTTAAAGCTTCATATGCAAAACCAGTAGTAGCTTAATTCAATCATAACCAGAGTTCTATAAATCCAAATGACTTGCAAAAGAATATTCTGGAAAGCTTATGAAATTCTATACAATTCATTTGTAAACATCAAAGCATGATTCTTAAGTTAACCAAATCAAATTCCAGTAGACCTAGAATCTATCCCGCAATGACAGGGTTGCTAACTTAATTATTTAATGATGATGCAAAAGCCTAATTTGACCAAACCAAGTTTACCAACTTGTTTTTCATACCTAAGAAACATCAGAAAGTATAGTGCCAACTTCTAAATAATTTATTTAATGTCTTTTTCCAATTTGTTTAGTTAATTAGGTGATTTAAGCAATATATAGTAAAACTATTCATAAAAATCTACAAAAATTACAGTAGCTATCTCATGCTTCACATAGACTACCATAAAAATTTCAAAGCCATTGGGAAACCATAACTTGCTATATCTAAAATAACAGATGACATGTCTATTTCTAGCATAATTAGGAAACCTTATTAAAAAGTGTCAAGCAACAGATTTCCTATTTTTCCTAGCATCATTCTAGTATAATAATAGCACCCATCAAATTTCACCTACACTGGATCTATAGAAAAATTATGAAAATTCACACAAGATCCACCCATTAATAAAAGGAAATTCTATAACTTAAAAACTACACATGCACTAGCTCTAAAATTTTTACCAGAGCTTCTAATAAGTAATAACAGATTGCCCACAAAATTTCATAATTTTTGGACCACAGAAACTCAAGATAAAATTCAAACAAATTTGCATGCATCTAAAAACACATTTCAAAGTCCTAATTAATTCATCAAAAATTTCTAAAACATGTGCTCATATAATATTTTTGTTAAATACTAGACATGACCAGGAACTCAACAAAATTAGAACCACATCATTTGGATCTATCAAACTTGAGTTACATATTTTTGAAATGGTGCACCAAAACTGTGAAAAACAGTTAAACAAAACAAAATAAAAACCTAACCGCTACTGGTGGGCTGGCCCAAGGAACGGCGGCCCACGAGCGCACAGGCGCGGCCCAAGATGGACTCCCGCCTGAGCCTCAGCGGCTGACAAGGCGGACCCGCTCGTTAGTGAGCGAAACAGGGGAGGAGCGACGGCCGGTGGCGTAGCTCGCCGCCGGTGGCTTCTCCGGCGAAGGTAAGGGTTTCTACGTGCTCGCCTCATCCTAGCGGACCTAGGGGAACCCTCATTCATAGCTATTGACACGACAAGGAGGGGTGGCGATGGCCACGGCGGCGCTCGGCCACGGCACGGCCGGCTCCGGCAACGATACGGCGTCGTAGCCCTAACGGTTGGCGCTACGGGCTTCGGTGGTGTTCACTGGACCTAGCTATAGGCAGAGGAGGGGTGGAAAGGTCGCGCGGACAGCTGGCCGCGTGGAGCGCCAACTTCGGCGAACTTCCGCCATGGCTGTGGTGGAAGGAAATGACGGATTCATCCTTATCAAGGCACAATCGACCTGGCTGAGGGGTGGGGGTGACAGAGGGGGTCACGGCGAGGCTACGAGCGGGAGGGCCGGCGCATTTTTGCAGTGGCGAGCTTGAACGACAACGGCGGAAAGCTTTGGCTCGGCGCGGTGAGCTATGCGAGGCGAGAAATGCGAACTGGAGCGGTGAAGGCGTCGGGCAAGCGCTGGCTTGAAGTGGAGGACAACGTGCA